AAATGTGACCCTGGACCACAAAACCAGTCATAAGGGTCAATTTTTCGAAATTGAGATTATTTGTATTTGGCCGAGATACAACTATTTGAAAATCTGGAATCTGAGGGTGCAAAAAAAATCAAAATATTGAGAAAATCGCCTTTAAAGTTGTCCAAATGAATTCTTAGCAATGCATATTACTAATCAAAAATTACGTTTTAATATATTTACAGTAGGAAATATACAAATTATCTTCATGGAACATGATTTTTACTTAATATCCTAATGATTTTTTGGCATAAAAGAAAAATCAATAATTTTGACCCATACAATGTATTTTTGGCTATTGCTACAAATATACCCCAGCGACTTAAGACTGGTTTTGTGGTCCAGGGTCACATATAATTAGTCATGCTAACAAAAAATGAAAATTTGCTGATAATGTACTCATCCCGAAGCAATTCAAGAAATGAGTTCATCAGAGCAAAGTACTGTAAGTCATATACATCTTGGATGGCCTGAAGGTGATTACAGTAGCAGCACATTTTCATTTTGAATGGACTATTCCTTTAATACTCATATTTGTTCTTTTCAGATGATACTTTTTTAAAGACAATTTCTTAACTTCTGAAATTGCTACATGATGCCCTGATTGAACCGAAACCTGGACACATCGTAAAGTTGCTGATTCGAAGTTTGCCCACATCTGAAAAAAATTTCTAAAAATATTGAACTGAGTTCAGATAAACAATTTTATTAGCTGTTTCAATAGCATCGTCATAACGCTGATCGTCACAGAGGAGAGCGGGAATAAAGAACATTAACTCAGAGTTGTTTATTTTCTTTTTGCTTAATAGCAAAAATACATTAGTAAGTCACACATAGGCGTAAAGTACGTGGATCCTTTTAATAAAACATAAATTCGTCCACAGCACTTTTCATTGGGCACGTGTGTTTAAGAAAAGGTTTTCAAGAGACGCAATGTACCGGTGTTTAGATGCGATTTGCAGACTTTAGCTTCCCATAATAACGTCACCGTTAAATGCGTTTTGTCCTTTACTGGCACCCGTAGAAATGACGAGGAATGTGATGATGATGTAATATGTGTGTGACTGCTGAAGTCAGCCTGTAGTCCACTCTCGTGCTTCTCCGTCAGGATGGTAATGTAAAACAAACTACTTTGCTGTTATAGTATTTAATCGTGATTCGTGTTTTCCTCATAAAGAAAGAGCATGCGGTTTACTGCGACTGTGAAGAAAATAACAGCGCACACTAAAAGATGAGAACGAGAGCAGCAAAAACATGTCATGTCATCCGCCCAGTCGGTTCAGCACAGTTCATAGTCCGGGTTAAAATGAATCTGTCAGACTGCAGTTTTTGAGTTTATTGGCAGAAAGTGATGACAACTTTATTTTGCAGGGGACCCAGGTTAAAGACGTGATCATTAAACCTGATGCTCCAAACACGCTCCTCCTAGACAAGCATGCCGACTATATTGCAGTCTATGGCTCCAAGAAGGATGACTATGTAAGTTGATGGCTTACAAAAATGCAAAAAATGGTTTTCCTTCAAAAAGCAATCAAATCAGAGGTTAATCTCCATGTGTTCTGCACCATCTCCTGCAGGAGTACACGCTGTCAGAGTACTTGAGAATGAGTGGCATCTACTGGGGTCTGACAGTGATGGACCTGATGGGTCAGCTGTCTCGAATGAACCGCGAGGAGATCATAGAGTTCATCAAGTCCTGCCAGCATGACTGTGGAGGCATCAGCGCCAGCATCGCCCATGACCCTCATCTCCTCTACACCCTCAGTGCTGTACAGGTCAGCAGGAATCTGCTAAATCTAGAAGGCAATCATAATAATTAATCAATGGTTCTAAAAATGACTACACAAAAGTGGGAATCCATGAAAAGATGTGTTACTCCCTTTAGATCCTGTCGTTGTATGATAGCATTAATGTCATTGATGTGGACAAAGTGGTGGACTATGTTAAAGGACTGCAGCAGGAGGATGGCTCATTCGCAGGAGACAAATGGGGTGCATTCATTCATTCATTCATTCGTTACTGGAATAAACAACTTTAAGCATTATATGACGTAATAAATGCTCGCTTTTTCTCATTAACAGGAGAAATAGATACACGGTTTTCCTTTTGTGCGGTTGCGACGTTGGCACTACTGGTCTGAATTCTTTTGTATTCAAGTATTATATTATTTAATTGCATTTTTGGTGTTTCTTGCAGCCTTTCAAGGTTTTAAATGCATATAACAAGACATTTCTGTGTAGGGCAAGTTGGATGAGATCAACATGGACAAGGCCGTTGAGTTTGTGCTGTCCTGTATGAACTTTGATGGTGGGTTTGGTTGTAGGCCTGGTTCAGAGTCCCATGCTGGTCAGGTGAGTTGTTTGAGGTATTTTATGCCCACCATTTTAGTGTACTCATACATTGTAATCATATGTTTTTCTCATCCTGTCTCTAGATTTACTGCTGCACAGGTTTCTTGTCGATCACTGGGCAGCTTCATCAAGTAAATGCGGATCTGTTGGGTTGGTGGCTCTGTGAAAGACAGTTACCATCAGGAGGCTTGAATGGGAGACCAGAGAAAGTAAGATGTCCTTTAGATCAAAGATATTAAAGGGTTAGTTCACCCAAAAATGAAAATTATCCCATGAATTACTCACCCTCAAGGCATCCCAGGTGTATATGACTTTCTTCTTTCAGACGAATCCAGTCGGAGTTATATTAAAAATTGTCTTTGATCTTTCAAGCTGTTTAATGGCAGTCAGCAGGTGTTGCCGTTCATCAGACCAAAAGAAGTTAAATAAAGTGCATCCATCTATCATAAAAAGTGCCTCACACTGCTCTGGGGGGTGAACAAAGGCCTCCTGTAGCGAATCGATGCGTTGTTGTAAGAAAAACAACCATATTTAAAGCTTAATAATCACTTTAATGTAGCCTGCACTCACAGTTGTACACGGAAGCAGCTCCGGGCGGATGACGTATGAGGTCAGTGCTGCGCATGCGCCGCTCAGAAGTGATGAACACGGAAGCGCAGGGGAGAGATCAAAACAAAACAACGGTCACGAATTAGAAGTACAAAACGAGGATTTGTAAAGAAGAATGTCGGAGGATTTCGATATAAGCCAAGAGGAGACTTGTTTTCCTTTGCTTCCTTTGCTCCTGTAAACAAACGTTGGTTTTCACGAGACTCACCAGCGCATGCACAACGCCGACCTCATACGTCATGCTCCCGGAGCTGCTTCTGTCTACAACTGTTGGCGCAAACTAGATTAAAGTGATTATTACGTTTTGAATATGGATATTTTTCTTACAAAAATGCATCGATTCACTACAGAAGGCCTTTGTTCACCCCCCGGAGCCGTGTGAGACACTTTTTTATTATGGATGGATGAGCTTTATTTCACTTCTTTTGGACTGATTAACTGCAACACCCGCTGAGTTGCATTAAACAGATTGAAAGATCAAAGACAATGTTTAATATAACTCTGATTGGATTCATCTGAAAAAAGGAAGTCATATACGCCTAGGATGCCTTGAGAGTGAGTAAATAATAGGTTAATTTTAATTTTTGGGTGAACTATCCCTTTACTAATTTAAAAAACGTGACTTAAAGGTATAGTTAACCCAAAAATGAAAATTCTGTCATTAATTACTCACTCTCATGTCGTTCCAAACCTGTAAGTCTTTCGTTCATATTTGGAACACAAATTAAGATGTTTTTGATGAAATCCGAGAGCTTTCTGAACCTCCATAGACAGCAAAACAACTGAAACGTTCAAGGGCCAGAAAGATAGTAAGGACTTGTGACGTCAGTTGTTCAGCCATAATGTTATGAAGAATACTTTTTTGTGCAAAGAAAATAAAAATAATGACTTTATTCAACAATTTCTTCTCTTCCGCGTCAGTCTGTTCACAAAAGTACTATGATGCATAACTCTTTAGAACTAGTTATATTTTCAGTCATAGCTGGATATTTAATTGTATCCTAAGTCTGACTTTTGACTATCAGTGTATTCTGCTCATGAAGTGACCATCTGATCCAGTTAGTGTAATGTAGGTACAGTTTATGTTGTAAAAGATTAAAACTAAAATTATTACCATAATAAAAAAATATTTAAAATAGCAATTAAATATATATATATATATAGATTAAATGAAAACTGTTTGGGAACCATAAAACATATTAAACCCAAATTAAAATTGACCATAAATAATAAACAAAAATAAAATACATTGTATTTTTATACATCTGATTTTTTAAATTCTTTTATTATCTGTGTTTTTGTTCTGTCGCTGTCATTCTGTTGCACTGCGGAAGCTTCTGTCATGAAAACAAATTCCTCGTATGTGAAAACATACCTGGCAATAAAGCTCATTCTGATTTAATGTTTTTAAAACTTAATGCTAGATTATTCAATTTTTTTTAAATGTATTTATTTATTAGAAGTTATTATTTATGAGTGACCAAACACAACTGTGGGTAATGTTTTTTCCTCTGTTTTCAGCTGCCTGATGTGTGCTATTCCTGGTGGGTTCTTGCCTCTTTGAAGATCATAGGCAGAATTCACTGGATTGACAAAGCAAAACTGCGCAGTTTTATTCTTGCTTGCCAGGATGAAGAGACTGGAGGCTTCGCTGACAGGCCTGGAGACATGGTAACACAAAATTTTGCATATGCATAAATATTTTGCATGTTGTTTCTCTAGGTCTTGCCATTCTTTAAACAGAGCTCATCAGTCTCTGCAGTACATTCTTACCAGTGTTCTATATCTCCATCCAGGTGGATCCTTTCCACACTCTGTTTGGTGTGGCTGGTCTGTCTTTGCTGGGAGATGAGCAGATCAAACCAGTGAACCCTGTGTTTTGCATGCCTGAGGATGTGCTTCAGAGGATTGGCCTCCAACCAGACTTGCTGAGCTGAGTTGAAATTTTCAGCATGGCCATTTTCCTCTTCTCCTACCCCTGCACAGCCAGCCGTTTTGAAACGGGCAAACCGTGGAAAGCTGTCATCTTAAACTAACAATCAGTGCACTGTTTAGAGGGACCAAGAACTTTAGAAAGCCCCTTAACATTGTGTGCTTATTACAGAGAATTGTTCTCATCATTGTGTACGCACCGTATTAACATGCTTACTTTTGTTAGTAGGCTTTCTCTATTTAAAGATGCTGTTCAAAGAGGGACATCTGCTATTTACAGCTTTCACTGTGTATTAAAACGTAACTTTATTTATATGAGTAATTCAGCAGGTCACTTTTTGGTGTCAACCAAAAGTGTTTATTCAATGAGGGGAGAGGTCGCTCACTCATCTCTGATGGCTTTTCCAAAGCGAGTATGCGAGACTAATAAATGTACATGTAACATCAGACTTTAAGCACCATAAACATGTATTTCATGCATGAGATTAATTTTTATGTCCTCTTACTGTCATTTGTTCACATCAATTGTCAAGGTTTTGTAGGTCCTCACATCTCTCAAGCATTTATTGTGCAACCATTTTAAAAGTCATGTTTGCTTTGCAACTGCTGTTGTTTCTAAGGTTTGGGAGAGTTTTGCTTTTGTGCTATGAATGAATTCTCTCACTCTGGCATTTATGCCAGTGTGTGAAGATGCCTGTTGTTTGGGATCTAATAAATGTGACTTTAATATAAAAAAAACTCCGTGTTGGATTATTCATTGTCAGGTGGGAAACTGTTGGTGTTCTCCACAAGGAATCAAGTGTTCATCAGCCCTAGAGCATCTGACACTGATTATAATGAATCTTTGTTGGCCTGCTGTTACGTGATGTTCCTCAGTAGTGCTTGTACATTTCTTTGCTCGGTGTAGGTTAGAAATGTTTGTATCATATAGAAAACCATTCAATTGAATTGATTACCAGTTTTAGTCAATCAAGCTTTGAATGTCACAAATTATGAGGTTGTTTACTAAAATTCACTTCAAAATAGGCTTTTCACACTATGCTTTTAAATTTATATTCATATTTGCTAGTTAAAAACAAAGCTGCAAAACTTTCAAGTATATGAGCACGGAGTTGGAAAAGTGAAGAGGCAATCAACTCAGAGTTTGTGAATTCATCAAGAGAGCAGCAATCTACAGACCACTGACAGATTTGCAGAAACAAACACAAGGGTTGTTAGGCTACGATGAAACCCCACTGGCTCTCATTACAACCTGTTCAGAGTGTGGGAGATGTGCCACATGTCACCACAGTCTCCTGGCACTTATGTTTTTGTTAGATCACCTCACATGTGCACAGACACACAACCTCTGCCTCTGTTAGTTTAATTAAGACATGATGGGTTTTACGACTAAATATGCTGTCACATTTATTTTGAGTCATATGAACTGTTAACTGAAAAGTTCTTTGGGAAATCTAAAATGGTTCTTCTACAACAACATTGCAAACCCCCTCTTTTGGAACCTTTATTTTTAAGAGTGTATATTGGAAAAGGTTTCTTTAGATTATTAAATGGATTTTCACACTAAGAAAATTGGTTATTTTAAGAACTGTTTACTGAAAAGTTCTTTAGGGAACCAAAATGATTCTTCTATGCCTATGGCATCACTAAAAATCCCTTTTTTGGAACCATTGTTTTTAAAAGTGTAAGTAGAAAGGCCTTTGAATATTGTCTTGGACAGGGTCAAAAAGGTTGAGAATCACTGGTGTGTGACAGGGATACAAAGATGTGTTTAAAATGCATTAGCCAAGATTTCATCTGTTTGGTTTTTCTACTGAAGAAAGTTTGCACTGTACGTAATTCACAGCTAATGTTTACTCACCTGTAAAATGTTTAGTCTATGTGAGATTTACTTGATTATGATAACAAATTAATAAGATGTGAAATCAGTACATTAGCTTTGTCTACACTGGATTTATTCTTATCTTCAAACAGGCTTTTTAAAGCCGTTTTGTTAATCTGCTGTAGAAACCATTACAAAAATTCAATGTCCAAAAACTGTAAGCCATGCGGGAAGACATCCCATTAGCAACAGCCTCTCTCTGACTGACACCTTGTTCAAGTTGGTAAAACAAGTACATCTTTTCCATAAAGAGTGTCTGTGCTTCTTTTACAAGCCTGGAAACATTGCAGAATGGTATTGATGCCTCTATTGATGAACTGAATGTAGGACATTATGTCTAGCCGTGCATGAACTGTGAATCGGAGAGAAAGGAATCGAATCCCTCACTTACCCTTAGGGCAAGTTATTTATTTTTCATTGGCTCAAGTAAAAAAAATATAGATGTGAATCATTACAATCATTACTAAATTTTTTTAATTGGATGAATGAAACATTTTTCTCAGTGCTCGGAGGACGATGGGTTTCATATAATAGTATATAGAAAGCTTTACAAAGCAATTGCTTATAAAATTCAAGACCCCATAGCCCATGAAACAAGGGATGGATTACTCTAATTTACTTTAGGATGATGGTTATCATTGTTATCTGACATGTTCTGAGGATCCTCTGTAAAATATTAGGTCAAATGTGTGTTTATTTAAAGTCCAAACAGAAGAACCCAACTACTAAGCATCACATGTCACATCTGAACTCTGAAAGCTCTGATACAAAGTTAGACACCTTTTCATTCAAATCCCTCTGCTTGTTGCTGTTTAAAATGTCAGCATTTTGAGAATAATTGTATTCTTTGATGAGCAGCTCAAGGCCGTGTTTAATGGCTGCCTTCGATATGTGACCTGCCATTGTTCATACTGTCTTGATTTTGTAAGTATCTTGACAACATCTTGCCATCTTGGTTTCGCTGCTGTGTACCCATATTATAAGAACCACCTTGCTCACATAAGGGGTTCCTCAGTACAGGAGGCATATGAAGAGCAACTTTTTGTTGTCTTTGATGCGCTTGTTTTGCTCTTCTGTGAAGGGTGAAATGTGTAGGAGGCGAGGAACTGTTCTTTAGATCTGTCTTTGCGATATGTGAAGGGCTCTTGGTTGAAGTCTTCTGAGGACATCCATCACTTTTATCCTCATCTTTTTCATTGCATTCACTTGAGGATAACTCAAAATGAGACAATGAGGCTTTGAAATAATCATCCTGGCGGTTTTTTAAATCCTTATGTGGCGAAACGTAGGTATTAGTGCTGCATGTTTTATAGGTTTCTGAAGTCAGTGTGTGCTGTTTGAGTTCTGACAGCTCCCTCTCACAGTCACCAGAGGTTTCATCACCCAAACCATCATGCTTCTGGCCAAACGTGGTTAGACTTCATTGAGTTACCACTTTCAACACTCAAATCAGTATTACCGCATTTCTTTGCTTTCTTGGAAGGCAGTACTCACTGATCTCAGATGAGCAGCGTAGGCTTCATAACAATATCCGCTTATCAGGTTTATGTCTATCAAGGTCTTTTGAAGCTCTTGTATTTCTTTGTTGATCAAAAACATTGATCTCCTGTGATCTCTCCACAGAATTTCCCACTCTTCCACAAACCTTTTCATTTCATAATAGTTTTTGAAGTGTGCTCTCTGTAGATGTTCGACTCTGGATGTGTTCGTTTTTCTTGCTTTCAAAAAGCTCATGTCTCCAACAGATTCAACATGTACTGACTGTTCAGGAGCCTTGAGACATGAGTGTTTGTGTTGTACCTCAGGTTTACCTCAGGGAACTGTGGGAGGCCGTATGTAGCACAGAGATACAGGCGTAAGACAGACAGAAGATACTATTGGTTAATGGGAAACAGTCCCCTGTAATTTTTTCACCCTTATGTGAGTAAATGATGACACATATCCATCAGATATTTTGAAGAGAGTTGATAACCAAACGGTTTCAGTCCCAATGACTTCCAATGACTACAAGTGAAGTCAATGGGAACCAAAACTGTTTGGTTAGCAACATTCTTCAAAATATCTTCTTTTGAATTCCGCAGAAGAAAGAAATGCATGCAGATTTGGAACGACATGAGGTCAAGTAAATGATGACTGAGTTTTCATTTTTGGGTGAACTATCCCTTTAAATATTCAACATATGCATCAAAAGTAAAGTTCTATATACCTGACATTACAAGTATGGACAAAACACTCATCAAACGAAGGGTGCTAAAAGGTCTTATTCACAAGAGGGCAGCAAACATCTATTGTTCACTGGGAAATCAGCATGTAACACACACGCACCCGGTGTTACTTACATTGAGTCTAACACTACATTAAAATCATGTAAAATTATAATTACAAATGACAGCATAAGGCGCATCATGCTGTGACACTGACTGAAGATGTAAGGCATAAATCTTTTACTCACCATACAGCCGTTTTTATCATCTGTAATGATCATCCTCATTGCTACTAATATATCCGCCTCTAACCGACTGTTTGGTTTGCATCTACAGTGCCATCTCCAAGTCTGCAAATCCTTCACTGATGCTTTCCTAGCGCATGTATTTTTTATCATAGTCTACATTGCATAAAATATTCAGATAGGACATTCACTTTTCTGAGCCCAGCCAGGCTACTGATCCCTCACCAAATAGTTGGATGAGCATCCAGGCCAAAGCTCAGAGCAAACACTCGCCTGAATGTCAAGTCATGTATGACCATGACTCATTCCAGCCGTCTCGCATCCGAAACCACAACATTAAATGGCAATCATATCTTAAATGTCTCTGCAAAAATAATTTATATAACTGCTGCTAAAGTATTAAACATGTTAGATTTCATCACATTATACATGGTTTAAGTAGGAGATTTCTGAAGGTTGGTCTTATTTTAGGACAATGGATGAAAAAATTCAAAATATGTTGTGCATACCAGCTCTAAGGAAAAGCTTTTCTTACCTCAAAGTGCATGACATAAAAAAAAATAAAAATGTTTTTTTAATATTGATGTATTAAAATCTGTTTCTAAATTTTTTTTTTTGCTCATGTAGATGTATTGTGAATGGAGCTACACTGGCACTTGCTATAGTGGGAGGCCATTGTGATTATATGCTAACTATAGGGGCAATAACGTCACATGAAAAAGAGGACACAATCAAATCAGATGGAAAGAAATGCTTTCTGTCTCTTTAAATACTGAATACAGTTTGACAAGACCACAATAACAACAGTAAGAGTGAGAGAGTGGGCCCTTCTGAATACGTCCGACTGCTGACTCACACACTGTATCGCCACTCAAGACGCTAAAATCGTTCCTCATATCACATGAATAATTGATGTTGCTTTTAAATGCTACAAAAATAACATGAAACAGAATACAAAAAATCCATTTCCTTTTCGGCCATGCCCGCAGTGTGTGCGTCAGTGAATTAAAAGTGGCTAGATCCTCACAGATCATCCTTGCGTTCCATTGCTTGTTTGTCCCACAGAGCGGGAAAGAAAAACCAATGCAGAGTTTTATTAAGCGGCATTTGGGTTTGCACCAAAGCGATCTCAGAGATTCTGAGTCCTTGTCCCACCAGCAGACACACAGTTTGGAGGCGAGGGTCAGCAGTGAGCACTGACATTTGGCTGCATCTGATCCAAACTCCACCAGCTGAGCCTTACACCAGAAGAGTGGCTAGAAGGTCTACGTTTGTTTTGTTTTGGCTAATAAAAATATATCATTACTATTGTAAGATCAGTTCTTTGTTTCACAGTGTTTCACATGCATGTGAATGTCTAACACTAAGTCCCTAGCTGCTGGCTACCACAAAACACATTTCTTCTCTCCCTTCAAACGGAAAATAAAACTAAACCTCTGAAGAGAGTCCTTTGGTGTCATTTGTTATTATTAGGAGGAGAAAATCCTCTTTATTTCAGGGCTTAGTATGGTGTAAAGACGATGTGGGGGGGGGGGGATTATAGCTATCCAAATAAGTGTCTGAAAGATGGAAAGAAATGCTTTCTGTCTCTTAAAATACTGAATACAGTTTGACAAGACCACAATAACAACAGTAAGAGTGAGAGAGTGGGCCCTTCTGAATACGTCCGACTGCTGACTCACACACTGTATCGCCACTCAAGACGCTAAAACCGTTCCTCATATCACATGAATAATTGATGTTGCTTTTAAATGCTACAAAAATAACATGAAACAGAATACAAAAAATCCATTTCCTTTTCGGCCATGCCCGCAGTGTGTGCGTCAGTGAATTAAAAGTGGCTAGATCCTCACAGATCATCCTTGCGTTCCATTGCTTGTTTGTCCCACAGAGCGGGAAAGAAAAACCAATGCAGAGTTTTATTAAGCGGCATTTGGGTTTGCACCAAAGCGATCTCAGAGATTCTGAGTCCTTGTCCCACCAGCAGACACACAGTTTGGAGGCGAGGGTCAGCAGTGAGCACTGACATTTGGCTGCATCTGATCCAAACTCCACCAGCTGAGCCTTACACCAGAAGAGTGGCTAGAAGGTCTACGTTTGTTTTGTTTTGGCTAATAAAAATATATCATTACTATTGTAAGATCAGTTCTTTGTTTCACAGTGTTTCACATGCATGTGAACGTCTAACACTAAGTCCCTAGCTGCTGGCTACCACAAAACACATTTCTTCTCTCCCTTCAAACGGAAAATAAAACTAAAACTCTGAAGAGAATCCTTTGGTGTCATTTGTTATTATTAGGCCAAAGCGATCTCAGAGATTCGGAGTCCTTGTCCCACCAGCAGACACACAGTTTGGAGGCGAGGGCCAGCAGTGAGCACTGACATTTGGCTGCATCTGATCCAAACTCCACCAGCTGAGCCTTACACCAGAAGAGTGGCTAGAAGGTCTACGTTTGTTTTGTTTTGGCTAATAAAAATATATCATTACTATTGTAAGATCAGTTCTTTGTTTCACAGTGTTTCACATGCATGTGAATGTCTAACACTAAGTCCCTAGCTGCTGGCTACCACAAAACACATTTCTTCTCTCCCTTCAAACGGAAAATAAAACTAAACCTCTGAAGAGAGTCCTTTGGTGTCATTTGTTATTATTAGGAGGAGAAAATCCTCTTTATTTCAGGGCTGAGTATGGTGTAAAGACGATGTGGGGGGGGGGGATTATAGCTATCCAAATAAGTGTCTGAAATCTTGTCTGTAAACTGCGACGCCCTGAAACGTGACTAAATGGCACATGAATACAAGCCTCGATTACATGACAGCATATATAAAAGGTCACATTCCACGACAGACTCCAGGTGTTCAGCTTTACATCAGCCGCTAAAGCAGGGCGAACGTCTCTTGTCCTCGGATCAGTGGCGAGGAGCTCGTTCGGTAAAAAAGAAGACGCGTGAATCCGACTGCAGCCGGAGGTCTGGATGAGAGGGCTTCCCTGAGGGAGTATGGATGCAGGGAGAGCGGTAGGCAGTCTGGGCAGCGGCGGAGCTTCTTAAACGCGGGCCAGCAGAAAGGCCAGCAGCAACAGCAGCACAGCTAGGCACGGGCCGTCTGCCCTGCAGCGCTGGCTCTGATCAGTCAGGAATGGCTCTGGAGACTCATAGCCCGAACCATCTGAAACACACAAACACAGAGAGACAGCACGCGGAGAAGAAGCGCTAGGAAATGCATACCTTTACTCAAAGCAGCAGGGGCCCACAGCACTGACCTCATTAGAGTTTAATTACTGAGGCGGAAAATCTGGTTCACATTTCACACAGCGTTTTCATAGATTACATGGACCTGACGTATCTATGCCAATGAATTTAAAATAAACACTGGATTTCTACTTGGAGGGTGAGCGATGTTGTTCTAGACAAAGTAACCAGAATACTATTCAAAAGCTTGGGGTTGTTCGTTTTTTCCATTTCTTTTGTAAGTCTCTTATGCTTACCAAGGCGGCATTTGTTTGATCAAAAATATAGTAAAAACTGTAATATTGTGAAATATATTTACAATTTAAAATAGTGGTTTATTTTAGAATGTAATTTATTCCTGTGATACAAAATTGAATTTTCAGCCATCACTCCAGTCTTCAGTGTCACATGATCCTTCAGAAATCATTCTAATAGGCTCTTGCTGCTCATCAAACATTTAATATTATTATGATATTATTATTATTATCAGTGTTCAAAACAGTACTGCTGCTTATTATGATGGTTTTTTTAATGTGGAAACTGATACATTTTTGTAAGATTCTTTGACAAATAAAGTTCAAAAGAACATTTATTTGAAATAGATTTTAAAAAAATGTCTTTACTGTCATTTTTTGATCAATACAATGTGTTCTTGCCAAATATAAGTATTAATTATTTTTATTTTAAAAACTTACAGACCCTAATCTTTTGAACAGTAGTATGATTTGAGAAGATTTGTGAATAAAGCAGCATTTTCATATCATATGTTCAAAAGAACAAAACTGCCATATATGGAGAAATTGGCACACAGTAAAAAAAACAAAACAAAAGCAAATATTTTTCATTTTCTTCTCTGAGTGAGTTATTCAGCCAGTTATTCAGTCGTTTTCAATATAAGACTTTAAGTAAAATTGTTTCTATTGTAATGTATTCACTTGTTTTCTTACAAGATAAAACATTTATCCACAACACAACTGTACTGTATCCTGTAGCTGGGTATAAATCCCTATTAGCAACCAGCAATACAGCAACTGAGCACCAGAGATTACATCATTGGCATAATGAATAACCCTGTGACAAGTAAAAATGTTGTCTGAGCTGTTATTTTTTAAATGTGTAAAACAAGAAGGGTTGTAACTATGAATGTAACTTATGATGCCATTACCCTTTTCAAATTTGACATACATTCCCCAACAATTAAAGGGATAGTTCATGCTGTCATCATTTTTTCACTCTTATGTTGTTCCAACCCTGTATGACTTTGTGGAACACACACACAAAAAATATTTTGTCGGTTTAAGTGACCACTGACTTCCATTGTATGGACAAAACCACCCAAAACACTGAGACATTTTTTAAAGGGGTCCTATTATGCTTTTTTACTTTTTCAACTTTAGTTAGTCTGTAATGTTGCTGTTTAAGCATAAAAAAGATCTGCAAAGTTACAAAGCTCAAAGTCCACTTCAAAAGGAGATATTTTATTTAACAGAAATCAATTTTCAAAAACTACAACGAACGACTCGTTTGGACTACAACGCATATTTTCCGGGAATCACAGCACATTTCGTATTTCAGAAGGCAGGCCTTCATTTGATACAGGAAATATTCGAGCCGTTCATGCCAGACTGAGGAGAGAGGTGTTGTAATAATGTAAAATATGTGAAAAATAATGTGTTTTTCGAACAACCTAGTATGAGAGCCTGTTCTAGTACACCCCCAAAACAAAATCAAGACTTTGTAAAAGAGCATAATAGGACCCCTTTAAGATATCTTCTGTTACTGTATGTTCTACATAAGAAAGAAAGACATACAGGTTTTACTCACATGAGGGTGCGCGTAAATGATGACAGAAATGTCTTTTTGAGTGGACTATCCCTTTAATATGAGGTTTCCATTGGTGAGTAATGAAGGTAAATTTAAATAATCCACAATAGTTGTAATAGTTCCCATTAGACCTCAGCTGCTGTTTTGATGGATGTAGACTGCATTTGAACACATTCCCGCAGCTTGAAAATAAATATGACATCTCATTAACAAAATGTTCCTGGAAAATGTGTCAAACACTGCTTATTTGCATTCCTGTTATGTCTAACAGAAGGTTGGCATGTAGACATGAGGGGATATTATTTTCTACGCCGGCAGGGCAAAACAGTTAGAGCATGACTTACTTGTAGGCTTCACGTACACCTTCAACTTTAAACACGGCTTGCCAGCGTGGTTAGGATGAGGAGAGGCTGTTGAAAAGGAAGTTGAAGAAAAATAATGAGCTAAATGTGCTTGTGACAAACAGAATCATTCAACAAGCCAATGAATCAATCTGATTAAGATCCTCTTGGTGACACTTGTGAACGTCTCTCAAGCCTCTGAGTTAGTTTGACCCCTTGACAACCAAATCAGGAACAAAGTCTGAGATTTTCTTCATTCGGAGGAAATTGCTCTGACCTTCACCAGCTTGGTGTCGTCACATACAATGGTCTGCGACACACAGTGTTCCCATGGCAAATTACCCCACATAGCACTCAGTGAAGTGAGAGCAAAAGTCACTATTGAGTCAGCCAACAGATCGGCTCCACCAGAACATCAGCAACACCGTTCATCTCTGCTCCCCAGACACAAGCTTTCTGACAGATTACTTCATTCATCTGTGTTCTACAGACACAACATCTCTACTGCTTATTTCCTTATAAGGGTCTGGTGAGAAAGAAGGGGCGAGTGAAATCATTTATTTGAACTTGACTGCAGTCAAATGTCCACAAAGAAAAACCAGCACATGAAGAAAACAGCCTATTTCAATGTCCTTCTCAAGCTTTTTGAAGTGGGATTGGTCAAGAGCAGAGGGTTCCATTTTTTGATGGCAAAGACCCACAAATGATCTAATAAAACTTTTTCACTCCCACCCCCCTCTCTAACTCCCTTTCACTTCCTTCCCCATCTCCATATTATCTTATCTGAATAAAGGCTTGAAAGTTTTATATATAAAACAATAATCACTTTAATCTAGCTTGCGCCAACAGTTGTACACGGAAGCAGCCCCGGGCGGATGACGTAAGATGTCGGTGTTGCGCATGCGCCAGTGAGTCTCGTGAAAACCAAGGTTTGTTTACAGGAGCAAAGGAAGCAAAGTTTCCTTACTTTAGCAAAGGAAAACCAGTCTCCTCTTGGCTTACAGTGGGTACGGAAAGTATTCAGACCCCCTTAAATGTTTCACTCTTTGTTATATTGCAGCCATTTGCTAAAATCATTTAAGTAATTTTTTTCCCTCATTAATGTACACACAGCACCCCATATTGACAGAAAAACACAGAATTGTTTACATTTTTGCAGATTTATTAAAAAAGAAAAACTGAAATATCACATGGTTCTAAGTATTCAGACCCTTTGCTGTGACGCTCATATATTTAACTCAGGTGCTGTCCATTTCTTCTGATCATCCTTGAGATGGTTCTACACCTTCATTTGAGTCCAGCTGTGTTTGATTATACTGATTGGACTTGATTAGGAAAGCCACACACCTGTCTATATAAGACCTTCAAGCGGTGCATGCGCAAAGCCGACCTCCTACGTCATCCTCCCGGAGCTACAGGAGGACTTTGTTCACCCCCGGAGCCGTGTGAGGTGCTATTTATTATGGATGGATGCGCTTGATTTAACTTCTTTTGGACTGATGCATGCAACACCCGCTGAGTGCCATTAAACAGCTTGAAAGATCAACGCCAATTTTTAATATAACGCCGACTGGATTCATCTGAAAGAAGAAAGTTATACATCTAGGATGACTTGAGGGTGAGTAATTCATGAGCTAATTTTCATTTTTGGGTGAACTAACCCAATAATATATAAAGTATTTAAAAAAATATTTAGTAGATTTTTATTACATTTTGGCTGTGATAAAACAAAAAATTTACTATATATAAAAGCCAGTAGTTTATTTTCTTTCTATCACACTTATTTTTTATTTTATCACACACACACACACACACACACACACAAAAAACAATATTGTAAAGATACAAATATAAAAGTTTGGGGTTAGTAAGGCATTTTTATGTTTTTAAAGGAAGTCTATCACCAAGGTTGCTTTTATTTGAACAAAATACAGAAAGAAATGTAAATATTATTACAATTTAAAATAGTAATGTTTTCTATTTGAATATATTTTAAAATGTAATTTATTCCTGTGATGTAAAGCTGAATTTTCAGCATCATTACTCTTTAGTGTCACATGATTCTTCAGAAATCATTATAATATGCTGATTTGCTGCTTAAGAAACATTTCTTATTATTATCAATGTTGAAAACGGTTGTCTTGCTTAATATTTTTGTTGAAACCATGATACATTTTTTAGTCAGGATAATTTATGAAGAGAAAGTTAAATTATAAATTGTAAATATAATGTATATATTATAAAAAAATACATTATACATTTTTATAAATCACTTTTGAAGCACTTTCAAAGTCACTTTTGTTCAACTGAATGCATCCTAGCTGAATAAAATTACTAAATTTAAAAAGTCGTACTGACCCCAAACCTGTTTTTTGTGTTTAACTTTACATAAAACTTATATAAGTTATTAAGTTTTGAATATGGATATTTTTCTTACAAAAACGCATCGATTCGCTACAGGACACCTTTGTTCACCCCCCGGAGCAGTGTGAGGCACTTTTTATTATGGATGGATGAGCTTTATTTCACTTCTTTTGGACTGATTAACTGCAACACCCGCTGAGTGGCATTAAACAGCTTGAAACATCAAAGACCATTTTTAATATAACTCAGATTGGATTCATCTGAAAGAAGGAAGTCATATACGCCTAGGATGGCTTGAGGGTGAGTAAATAATGGGCTAATTTTCATTTTTGGGTGAACTATCCCTTTAAGAAACAATGTATCTGTTTTTTCTAACCACTATTAGAGAAATGTTAGATGGTTTTAGAATTTATACTCAAATGTTCTATAGATCCCAGAAAAAAAAACAACAACTCTTGTCTAGAGTTTGTCATCTTCAACCTGAACAACCATCCCCCAGCACCCCAAGTCATTGTGTATTCTTGTGGCATGTTCACCACACCGGATCCTAGGTTCATTGGAGAGCATCCAACCTCAACCGCCGGCAGCTGTGTAGAAGACGCCTGTCAAGATGTCATCACAGCCGATCAATACGGGCGTAGAGATGGAAGTCCGGGGGTTAAGTCTGACCAGGTCTGATGGACGTGTTCTTTTACCAGCAGACAATCGAGATCAGCCCCCACTTCCCAGTGATAACCTCTCAGATCCATCTCTCATCGCTAACCCCACCGACCCTGCCACAAAGCATCAATCCCCTTAGGGACCGTGACACCCATAGAGCTGCCGGTATCCAAACAATCCTCTCAGGGAGTGGCTGGGGTGCTGAATGGAGTAGCCTTGGCGGGGGAGCGGGGGTGTCCAAAGGCCTTTTCCAGCCCTGAAACAAAAGCCTTCACAATGCAGGACCAGGCTGTTAGCTTGCATAAAAATCAGTTTGGGGGGACAGGGGCAGAAACACAGAGTTGAAGGGTATCTTTGAACTTTTTTGCTGCTCTTTGTGGCATCTCTCCCTCTCTCTCTCGTGTGCAGAGACAACACTGCGGCGTGTATGATAAGCAGCGCTACGCCCTGCTGATTTAGGGGGGTTTGGGTGGAGGGGATGTTGACTCATAACGACGCCCCCTCCATGCCTGCTTCGCTCCCTTTCAGTCTGAGCTGTCAATCAGGGAATAATCAGCAGTCAAATGAAAAGCATGTAGGATCTGTGGCAATCTCCATGGGAGCGAGGAAGGCCCGTCCGGCCACTGTGCAGATGGGGGATGGCTGCTGATGGACAGTGTGGCTCTGCGACACAAAGCCGGCGAGAGCTCAAAGTTGCTGGGCTCTCTGTACTGTACACAGGTGGCTCCCGGCCCAGCCACATCTGCCCACGCCACAGCCGCCCATGTCAGGAATTGTAATTACCATATAAATTATTGATTTGGTTGCCTCTCTCCGTTTTCTCTCAGCATCTTCCTGATACAAGTCTTTCATGTTATCTTATTACAACAGCTAGGCGGTTGACATGAAAAAAAGAAGCTTTTTGTTTAATGTCTACTTTTAATTTGGTTTAGCCACACCAAATTATCTTCACTGGAGGACAGTAGGACAAATGCGTGAAGGATGAGTTTCCCATTTGAACCCACCAGTTTGAAGCTTTGTGAGGTTAATGGGAATGAGCTGTTGGATGTTTCTCATGTAGGAAATGCTAAAGCTTTTGAGATTAAAGGATCTCTGTTTCTCTCACAAACTATTTGCATCTTTCTAAATGTCCTGTAATTCTGGGGCGTTTTGTTTGAGGACGCGAGAAAAAAATTCAAATGACAGAACAGAAATAACAAAATAAATAGTACGAAATAAGAGCTCAAACTGTGCGTAAGGTCTCATTTTTCTGTGGTCCACCAGCGGACGAAGTTTCAGAGTGAGGCAGCGTCTCTTTTGCTTTCCTGGAGCTCATTGTGTTCTCAGAGATCCTGAATGTAGAGTCTTAAAAGTTACAGATAGTCTATTTGACTGGCTGATTGACCCTGTCAGTGTGATAATGCCTGCTTGTCATGTTCACAGCTGGTCCACAAATCCACTTGAATGGGTCAATCTGGTGGAAATGAACTAATTACAAAGTAAACAACTCGTGTGCTAATCAAAATAAAATTGAAATTACGTATAGTAATCACTCAGATTGATTTAATTAAAGATGTACCTCTGTGTCTGTGACTGCCATTAATCCTGTTTACCAAGCATTTGCTGACTAATGGTCCAAAAAAGGTGACTATAAATGAATAATAGCTAGTTGTAGCCAATAATTACTATACAAAATATGCCTATGTTTTATTGTAGTAATTATTTTTAATTCATAAACTTCAAGAGTAAACATCAAATGGAGCTTTAATTTATTTATTTGATAAAACATTCCACAGAGCAGTGATTCTCAAGCAGAGGTCAAGGGAACTCCAAACCTCCAAGAAAGCCAGAAGATGACTAAATAATAATACAAATTTTTTTTTTTTTTTAAAAACAAGCACTAAAATGAGCCAAGACAACTGAAAATCAAGATTTCTTATTTTGATTCACCCAACAACAGTTTTTTTTCTTTTAAGAACCAGTGTTCCCACTGTCATTATAACAACACTGCCACCTATTTCCAGGTTTTCATGAACTAAAACGAAAACTATTTAAATAAAATATGAAAATAAAAATGAAATAAAATATAAATATTAAATTAAAAACACAAGTTAAAAATACTAAAAGTACTAATTGAAATAACTAAAACTGAAATAAAGTAAACAAAAAGTATTTAAAACTATTTTTAAATAGTCTGTCTTCAGAAACGAACAGAAATGACAAAAGCTCATAAGTAACTAAAAATTCAATTAAAATGAAAACTAAAAATATAAAAATAAAATTTCAAAATAATAATAATGAAAAAAAAGAAACTATGATAATAAATACTAATACTAAAATAATTATACATAATTATAAATAATATCAAAAATAAAAAAATAATAGGGGTAGTAGGGGATATGAAGTAACTTTATTTTAAAGGGGTCATATGATGCTTTTTTAAAGATCATTATTTTGTGTATTTGGTGTAACAGAATATGTTGACATGCTTTAATGTTCAAAAAACACATTATTTTTCAAATACTGTATAAAGAATTACGTCCTCTCCTAGGTTCACGAAAAGGTCGTCCATAAAATGCATTGCTGTTCTGTTGTAAGTAATCTTAAAGATTCCTAAATGCATCTACTTTCGGAAGGCCAAATAAAGTGCTTTTGCTTTCATCTAGAAACACACAGCGTCTCCCTGACATGGCTGCTTCAACACTAACTGCGGTTACTGAAACCCCGCCTTCTTTCTTTGCGTGCACATTTGGGCGCCATTATGCAAATATTTCCACACAGTGAGGTAGATATGTGGGGGCGTGTTAGAACGAGCCGTTTTAGGGGGGCGTGGCAGAGTCTTAACTTTGATAAAAAATATCTCTTTGGTTTTGAGACTTTAATCTTTGCGACTTCAGGGATCTTATCTATGCACAATCAGCTTGTAACACTCCAAAGAGAAAGGAAAACTTGAAATCGCATCATATGACCCCTTTAAAATTATGATTTCTAGGAAATCCTGGAAAAATTAATTAATCAAATCTTGAAACTCCATTTGCATTTTCATAATGAATATACTTTTTTTCTAGTTATGCCAAGCTCTAAATGATTATATCTGGTAGAAATTGGGAGTGAACAAAAAAAATCCTTATCTAGTAATGACAAATAAAAAGTCACATAAATTAATCTGTTTAAAAAAAGTGGTATCCCTGAACAACATTCAGTTCTTCAAATTTCAGCAATCCTGAAACTAGAAACTAGAAACTAGAAACTAGAAATATCTGGCTTTTGAATACTGTTGTGGACAATGGAGAGTCAAAAAAGTTGGCAACTGCTCAGATAGAGTTCACCACATGTCACTGCTAAAACAGCACTAAACACTTACATATATAATAGTACTCGTGTCCAGGTCGGAACTCAAAACCAAGCGAGAAGGGGGTGAAGAGCTGAAACTTCTCAGAGAAGCGCAGGGGTCCGTCAGGACTCTGGGGCCGGTTACATTCCCACCGCTTGAAGCCCCTCATGCGGTGCTCACAGGTGAGGTAACCATCATGGTTGACCATGAAAAGGATGTAGCGCTCCATGTGACTGTGAGGCTGGGGCGTCTCATAGTACGGACAGTACACGTCCAGATAGTCATTGATGCTCACGGCCACCGTATATTCACCCTGCCAGAACCTGCAAAGGAGATTCAGAGCATTAGGATGACTGACATAACAACTTCTGTACAAGGACAACTGAAATATTCTGTAGTTCAGCTTTTTATTTGGCCTCCATTCAAACCGTACAGCAGCAAAGAGGAAAGTTTAACACACAAAGGCTAAATCTGTTAGGCAGAAAATCACAGGGAACACAACAGAATAAGCTGGAATGAATAACCACATTGCATATTTTCTATCTAGGTCACCATTATGCAGAGAGAGAATGGCAAACCAGAACACACGGAAAACCAAACACTCGCTGTAACACTGTAATGAGAAGGGGGATGTTTGAAAAAAATATCTTTGACTAGGGCTTAAAATAGACCTCTTTAAAAACAACTTAGTTTGCCTTTATTCATTTCTCTGGGTTAGTGCAGTAGCAACATTTATCAATGAAATTGATTATGTTCACAAAAACGGCAAATTTAGTCAGCGAGTTGATTCCTTATAAATCATGAACTTCATATTAAATTGCACCCTTAATCCAAGCTTTGAACCACAGTGGCACCATAAAATAATTTTTCATGCTTCGCATTCGATTTTCTCTCTACATAGTATGCGTTTCATGAGAATACAGCTTTCAGAGCATAAGAAAAAAAAGGGAGAGAGAGGCAAAAGATAGCATGAGTGAATCAGTTTGAAAGTCAGTGTGACCTACAGAGGCTTTGAATGTGTGACAGTACTGTGATGTCCTGCGAGTATATGCCTGTGACTGCAAAACAAATGGCGGCTGACAAAATAAAAAATAAAATAAATGCATTAAGGTTTTTATGCTTGTAACAAATACGCCAATTAAATAAGTTGACACTTTTTAAAGATATATTTTCTGAAAACAAGTCTTACTGCCTTGCAGCAATTTTGTTAGGCAAATTTATGGGTGAATCTCAGAAAGCCTGTCAATGATAGGTCAAGGTCATCTTTCATTGACAAAAATGAAAGAAAAAAATAAGAAATTACAGTTTGCACAATAAAAATTAAACACTCTTTTGTACTATCAAGGATTATTGTATTGTGACATTTTACATTATTATAATGAAAAAGATCACTAATGTAATGAAAAATATTATTTATATCATATAGTGTTATACATGTTAGTATTTTCTGTATTGCTTTTAATTAATACAAATAAATTTATGATGAGTTTTCATGTCAGCATTAATGTGAAAATATATAACATCTAGCCATATATCACAGCTAGATGTGATTTGTGATCGCGTTCCCCCCCCGGACCGAAGGGGGCCCCGCTCCCTATCTCGCACCAGGCCCCGCGTCAGCTAAGGACGGTCCTGTGTGTGAGAGTATATATATATATATATATATACTCTATTATTAAAATATGCAATTGTACTGTTGGTATACTACACTGGTATACCTAAGTCTGCTAAATTGTAACAACTAATTTTGTGCTTAATGCACTTTAATTGTGCAGCAGTAGTGTTATAGTTCAACTAAAGATATACTTAAGTATATTTGATTGTGCTAAAGTGGAACTATTGCAAGTATACTTCAGGTACACTTTAAATATCTTGCATTTAATGACGTTAAAGTTAAAGATGTTATATAGGGATCATACAATCCTCATCAATAGTGACATCCAAACGTGTGTGTGTGTGTGTGTGTGTGTGTTTATACACACTAAAAGTTTATGGAAGCCCATACACACTGCAGGGATCCTCAAATCTGGCCCATGAGATCCACTTTCCTGCTGAGGTTAACTCTAACCCTAATCAAACACACCTGAGCATGCTAATCAATGTCTTCAGGATCATTAGAAAATCACAGGTAGATGAGTTTGATCAGGGTTGGAACTAAACTCTGCAGTGCATTGGCCCTCCAGGGCAAGATTTGAGGAACCCTGCACTAAAGGTTTATATATGTGACTAAATGTTTTCATAATCTGAAAGCTGAATAAATAAGCTTTCCATTGATGTATGGTTTGTTAAGATAGGACAATATTTGGCCGAGATACAACTATTTGAATATCTGGAATCTGACGGTACAAAAAAATAAAAATATTGAGAAAATCGCCTTTAAAGTTGTCCAAATGAAGTTCTTAGCAATGCATATTACTAATCAAAAATTAAGTTTTGAAATATTTACGGTATGAAATTTACAAAATATCTTCATGGAACATGATCTTTACTTAATATCTTTGTAAAGAATGATTTTTGGCTATCTATAATTTTGACCCATACAATGTATTTTTGGCTACTGCTACAAATATATCCCAGCGACTTAAGACTGGTTTTGTGGTCCAGGGTCACAAATATGTTTGTGTGTGTTTGTGCGTGCATACACACTAAAGGTTTTTTTTTCTTTTAAATGAAATATAATGAAAACTTGATTTTGTGAGGTGCATCCATCCATCCAACAACCGAAATTTAACCAAGAGCACAATATTTTCTAAAAGTGTCCTTGTGCCATATGTGAACTCTATAAACCTTCCCTTTTTTTTTTTTTTTTTTACAGAGCAACATGTATCTAAGTGAAAACAGCAGAAAGCACTCACACCTCTGTAAGCGAGGAAGCACCTTCAGGCACAGGTCCATTTGCCTTCAGTTTTCAGAATAAGGTCCTGTCCTCTCATCTAGACAAGCTGCCCTCTCCAGCACCTGCCTGTCTGTCCTTTAACTAGACAAACTATGGGCATGGTGAGTTCCTCACAGCACAACCCACATCAAGCGGTTTCTTAAAGGCTGCTTGTTTTACCCTCGGTTAATGGCTCTTTCAGATGTTTGCACTCTCATTAACACACACAAACACTCGCGTAGCATAAAACGTGCCATAAATAACTTCCATGCGGCGGAACATCTCTGGATATGTTACTGTAATTCAGCTCTCATAGTCTAAATCAGGTCCACCTGTTGTAGATTAGCCACACTCCCAAACTGTTACCTCAATCCCATCTCTCCAAAGCCACGTTTACATTAAGCGGACAAATGTATTTTAGGTCCTTTCAAACAAGTCCAAGTGACTTGTTTGTCTAATCACTTGTTTATACTATCAAAAGGAATAAATCTCCTGAAAGTTTGGAGCTCCTGACTTTCAACGTAAACGCTGCGGAGATATTTCTTTCTAATCAGGCATGAACAGATTACCGAGGGGACATATATCAGTTTGAGCAGAACATCCCAGCATATGTTGAGGGATCACAACTGTGTGTGTGTGTGTGTGTGCGTGAAACCCATCCTTCACTATCTTTCCAGGAACACATTTCTCCTGTTGCGGCTGACCTTCTCAAACTCTCCCGAAGCACATCAGGAACTTGTTTATGGTTCATGGTGAAATATCGATCTGTGAATTTACAGTGGCTTCCATAACCTCATTAAAAATAACCGCCGATTGGTTCCATCGCCAAACACAAGATTGCACAATAAATGGATTTTTTCTCAGGCGGGTGGCGGGGCGAGTGTTAACAGACATGATGAGGAGACAGCTGAATCATAAATAGACTGACGCTCATGCTCAGAAATATCAAAAAGATCTCTCTCTCATGTACATACGCGCACACATGCACCTTCCTGTTTTCCCAAATAGGCGGAGCATCATGGAGAATTCTAAACAAACACACTTCAGTTCCTCATAGCACGCCGCACCTCATTCACCTGCTGTCGTCTTCCCTTTGTCTTTTAAAACTTTGATATTCAGGAGATCTTCACATTCAAATATCTGAAGCTGCTTTTAGGCAGAGACTTTGACAGATCTAAACTGGAGAAAATATGCAACAATAGCGGAGCTGAACAGTCATATTCTGGTAAAGATTATTTGAGAAAATTTGAAACATTGCTCACACACTAAAGCTTTGTGAAGGACATAAATACCCTGGTAGAAAAATTTCACATTTTTTTCATTTTTAACCCTCTGATGCATTACTAATTCAATTCCAAAGGAGAAAAACATCTTCATGTTTCTTTTTATTTCAAAACAAGAAAATAATTATTCTCAATTTTCTTCTTCTTTTATCAAAGTAATGCGTTTTGAGAGTTCACTGCAGTAGAAGATTTCAGAAAATATTAAAGAGGAAATTCGACAATCATGTTGAATGTTCTAAATGAAAACACACATATAATAAAGAAGACAGACGTATAGAGTTAAAGGTAAGGGTCAAAGGTCATCATCTATGGGGGTCTGTATGTAAAAATGGTAGACACCATGCATCAGTGGGTTAAACTAATAGATTTCTGTGTAAACCCCTTTTGACAATTCAAAATGACTTTGTTTGGAAAAATAAAGCAAAATAAAGCAATGCAAAACAAAACAAAACAAACACCCCCAAAAAGAACAAATTTCTATAAACATTTCATACATGCATATACACACACACAAAAGCAAGTACATTTTTCCTGTGGCAGAGTTCAGTGAATTTGCAGATTTTGCTATTAATAGTCGAGACGGCAGCATGTGAGCATTTCTTTAAGCCTCACAGGAAGTCTTACATACTTTTTCCCCCCGAGTCTTTGTACCAAAGGATCACTTGAGGCACATACAAACACACACACACACTGCTGTAAATCCAAAGGTGGTGGATCTGAATCTCTGGCATTGCACACACTCACGTTACACATTTTGGTGAGGCATTGCCACGGCTCGGTACGATGTGATTCTGGAGGCTTTCCAGCCCCACTTATTGTGTTCTTGCCACAAGCAGGCCTTTTGCCATCATGCCAGCCCTGCTAGACACTGGGGGCTTTTAATGATATGGAAAAGCAAAGGGCTGCCACAATGTTGTGAATGCAAAGCTCCAAGGCAAAGCTCTTCCATGCGAGATAAAAGAGAGGAGAAAAGCCACTTATCGCTGGGGCTATCTGCTGCCCGCATCTGATGCGGGGGCTTGGGAACCGGACCTTGTTATGTCAAGAGGAGAGAGGATGTACTGACGCTGCCAAAAGAGAAAGAGAAAGGGACAGCGAGAGAGAGAGTGCTGCCATTCTAAACAAGTTTCCCTAAATGACAGCCATGCTGGATGAGAGAGCCAAA